AACTGTGGGATCATGACCTGAGCGGAAATCAAGAGCTGGACACCTAACTGACTGAGCCACGCAGGCACCCCTATTATTGTACATTTGTTGATTGCTGACTTTGGTCAATAATGAAATTAGCCCAGTGTTCTCGCCAAGGTTAGGTAGTGGATTAGCCAGAGACAAAATACTTTTCAGGGCAAACTTGAGCTGTCCTGTCCGTGCTCCCCCGACCCTGTCACGCACACGTGCACACGTGCACACACGTAGTCCAGAGCCTCTCCTGCAGGCGCTGGAAGGCGTGTGCTGAGCACACAGCCTGCGAGCTCACCCGGAACCATCACAGTCTTGCTCCTCAGGAACACGTTGCACCGAAACCAGATCTGGTTTCAACACGGACCGTGTGCGCCGAGCTAACCCTTTGGAGACGTCTTTTCCTGCCCGTGACCTGGGAGTGCTCACAGCACCGCTGGCCCTGGGTCAACGTCACAGTCACGAGAAGCCGAGGAGAACAGCACGTGCCTAACATGCCTCTAGGTGGGGGCTGCCGTTCCTTCTGGCCCTGGTGAGCCTGGGGGTCTGGGCCTTGCTTGACAGACGGTGTCCACAAGTGGGTTAGTTAGAAGCGTGTCCTGCCTTCCCTCCATCACGGGTCCACTTGAGCCTGCCTTGAAGTGTGTGGTCTCGTGACAGGCCCCTGCCTGTTCTGACCCCCTCCCCGTACTGGCACGCACGTACCTCCTGGACCTGTTTGGTCGTCCTGCCTTAACGAACTGCTCACACCTCCTTGCTTAAATGGCATTCAGATTTAGAGACAAGTTTCTTGGAAAAAAACCCATAAGGCTCGAACCAGAAACTTGAGGCATTTGGTCGACACAAGAACACCAGGGCACGATTATACGGTAAGAGCAGGCGGTGTGACGGGGTCCTTTCTCAAGGACCTGGTGGGCACGGAGGCCTCGTGAAGTCCCCTTATCTGTAGTGAAGTAGACGGAGTATGAGCAGATGTATTAAGTGGTGTCAGTGAGTGCTGTGAAGAAAAGAAGTAACAGTGTGAAGAGTGATGGGGAGGACCGGCATTAACTGGTCATGGACGGTCCTTTGGGGGGTGGCCATCTGAAACCTGAGAGCGAGCTGTGTGAGTACCTGGAGGGAACCTCCCAGGAAAGGGGCCCTGACCCCTGAGTGTGCTTGGGAAGCAAGAATAGCAAGAGGCCTGGCGTCACAGTAGCTCGGGGAGTCA